TAAAAAAAAAAAAAAAAAAAAAGTAAACCTGGCAGCTATAGAATACACTATGTACATTTATAATAGCTATTTTATATATTGTAGTATCAACATTTTAAAATTAAATGTTTTACATTCACAAGTGATGGGGAGTTTTGTCATTAAGGTGTGTGTAACTTGAGTCCAGTTGGCTTTCTAACTAGACTGCACTTGTTTTCTATATCGTAGTGAAATGCTATGAGTATACCTTGCATAAAGCCTCATTCTACCACATTAGCCAACCCTCTAGCTAATACTGCAAACACTGACTGGGGAATTTTGTTTATAAGTGCTCTAGAATAATAAGTTATTCACACCAGCATCATCTGTTACTAAATTCTAGATAGTGCAGCTTCTCAGTGTGTTGTGTTTGGTCTCATAATTAGTTTTTTCTGATCTAAGAGGAAACAATACCGAGGTTTGTTCTTTTCCTTGTGGAGTTAGTGTGAACTTGCTGTGGAGGGTGGAGCATACTGCTGCAGCCTGTTGGACCTCTGCCAATTAAGATGGTATTGGATTAGGTCACATCTGGTTACAGTCCTGGGGAAAATCCCTTTTATAGAGCCAGTCTTCCAAGTGGTTTTTAAAATCATCCTATTGAAGTTTTTAGGTCAGTTAGGTATGTTGACTAAATTTACAAATAAAACTTGTTTATCAAAAAAAAAGATAAATAATACAATTTATCAGTAGATCCTATAAAGGATACCATGAGGTTATCTCCATAGAAGCCAAAAGTGCATTTCTAAAAAGGCAATACCTACCCATCACTACTTTTAAAAATTATTTGGGGATGGGGCCAGGGATATAGCTCAATGACACCATGCTTGACTTAGAAGCTCAAGGTTCTAAGTTAAATCCCTGGTACCAATATATATACACATATATATATATACATATGTGTATATGTAAATGCACTTTTGTATACACATATGTATATATATATATGTATATACATATGTATGTGTATAGTTAGGAGTGGTGTGTTAGTGCCTATAATATTCAGGAGGCAGCATGGGTTACTTAGTGAGACGCTGTCTCAAAAAAAATTTTATATGGAGCTAGGGATGTCACACCATTATAGACCACTTGCCACAAATGCCCAGGGCCCTTGATTTCATCCCCAGTGCTACCAAGAAGAAGGAGGAGAAGGAAAGAAAGAGGAGAAAGAGAAATGGGAAGGGGAAGAAGGAAATGTAAGAATTTCAGAGAGTGGTGAATATATAAGAAACTATCTCAGCATTGCTAGTGGAAATGTAAAATAATACAGCCATTCTAGAAAACAGTTTGGCAATTTTTTTTAAAAAATAGACTTCCAGGAAGATGACAGAGTGGTAAGCAACAGAAAAAGAGCCCCTCTGAGATTTAGTGTGCTGAAAATGGAATATAGCAGCAAAAGAAGAGGGAGGAGAGAAGTGGTTCCCTGGGACACAGGAAGGATCTGAGGCAAAAATTGAAGTCTGTGGGGAGAGTGAACATAGAGACTTTAACAAAGAGGAGGGAGGTACCAAGAAGCACTCTCTCCCACAGCCCAGACTGTCCAAGAGGGAATGGCAGGTCAAACCTGAAGACCCACGATGACCACTGACAACTGCAGAGTCCTCCACGGAGAAATGCACCAGTGGAACAGAGCAGAGGACGAACCTGACTGCAGTGACTGGTGAATTATCTGGGTTCAGACCTCACCCAGGAGAGGGTGTTTGGCTGGTAGCCATCCTGGAGAGGGGCTTCCTGAGCTCAGAACTCAGATCATCTGCAGTCAGACTCCATCTAGTGGCTCCGGGTGCCTCCATGTCAGGAGATGCATAGACTGTTGTAGGCTCAAGGAATCCCATTCCAGCCTCATAGCCAGAAACCAGCCTGAATTTCCAAAGAACTAAAGGAGCAGGCTGGCTGGGATTATCCACTACCCCACCATGAAGCTATAGCTTGCTTGCTGGTATTAATCAGTTTGGCTCTGTACTCTGTTTGCCTACTTTGCCTAACAGTGACAGCAGAGACACACCTGGGATTGGCAATTATGGGTTTTTAAAAAATCTTTTTTCTTTCTCCTTTTCTTTTTCCTCTTTATTTCCTGTTTTTTAGTTCTTGTTTTGTTTTGTTTAGTTTTTTCTCAATTGAATGCAGTTTCTAGTTTTTTGTTGGTGGTGGTCTGTTCTGTTCTTGTTTTGTTTTTTTGTTTTCTGTTTGTTTTTTGGTACTGGGGATTGACCTCGGATCCTTGTGCTTGCAAGGCAGGCCACCGAACTGCTGAGCTAAATCCCCAGCCCTGTTCTGTTCTTGTTTTTATTTTTTTTCCTTTTCTCTTTCCTCTGTCTGCTTCACCAGTTTCATAAAGTCTGCCCTCCCTCCTTGCTTCTGATCTCTTCCTATTTTTTCTGTATGTTTTTTTACCCCCTAACTCCTTTTAAATCTTCTCCCCTAAGGATAAAAAAGTCCTATTAAGAGCTACAGTTTATCATTTTCTAGGCTGTCTTTGATGGTATTGTTATTGTTGAGTGTCCTACTTTAGCCAAGGTGACATAATTGTGGCAATCAGTTGTTCCTCCTAGTATACCAAGACTGAGATTACCTAAGGGTCTTAAAACAAAACAAAACAAACAAACACTATAGGCTAGTGCCAGAGAAGCAGCTGGGCCAAGTACGCAGAACTTCTCATCCCCAATAAATTGAAGAGGTAGGATCCTGCAACAGACTCAAAACCCAAAAGCTAGCTACACCTGGAAGACACTTCTGAGAAGTAGTCATTTCCTAAGGATTCTGAGTACTGGCAATAAAGCTAATCAGCATAAGCAATTTATAAACATCAGCTCAGGAATCAAACTTTTAAAAAATAGGAAATGAGAAGACACTTCAACAAGATGCAACCCCCACAGACTTTTATTTCAAAAAAAGGCAAACCCTGGAGGCAGTGAAGTGGAACAATTTGAAAGCCACTCACATGGACTCTCCTAAGTGGTAGCAGCAGAAGTGACAAAGCAGATGAATAAGGCTCTAGAAAAAATAAAAGCAGAAATAATTTCCCAGATAATTACAAAAATGGCGAACAGGGCCAGGGAGTTAGCTCAGTGGTGTCACCACCTGCCTCACAAGTGCAAGGTCCCAAGTTTGATTCCTGGTACCAAAAAAAAAAAAAAAAAAAGCTCAGGAATATGATGGAAACCATGAGCACCCAAGGTAGGAAAAAAAATTGAATCCATGAAACAGATTCAAACAGGTATCCAGAAGATTAAAAGTTCCATTGAAAGTACGCATCTCTAAAAAAAAAGAAAGTATGCACAACAGAATGGCCCAATGTGAAGACAGAACATCAGATAAAGAAGACAGGATTGTGGTTAGCGACCATTAAAAGAGAGATTTCTTAAAAATATCGAGGAACCATGAGAAATGAATCCAGCAGCTTCTAGATGATGCAAAGAAATTAAAGTAAGACTGGTTGGAGTCAATGGAAAAGCAGGAGATAGTTCAAATGACATTAAAAACCTGTTCTTAGAAGTAATGGTATAACTTCCCAAATAGGGAGAAAATTTGACATATAGATAAATGAGCCATAAAGGACTCCAATTAGCCATGATCAAAAAAACAAAAATTTTCTGCAAGGCATGTAATAGTCAAGATTCCAGAAATTCAACAAAAGGACAGAATATTAAAAGCTGTTAGAGAAGGCCAGGGATTTAGCTCAGTGGTGCTGCTGCCTGCCTTGCAACTGTAAGGTCCCAAGTTCAATCCCCAGTACCCATAAATAAATAAATAATTTTTTAAAAAAGCTGTTAGAAGAAACAAATCACTTATAAAGGAAAGCCCATTAGAATCACAGCAGACTTCTCAACACAGACTCTCAAATCAAGGAAGTTTGGAGTGAAGTATTTCAAGCCCTAAAGGAAAACAACCTTGAACCCAGATTGATGTACCCTGGAAAACTATCCTTCAAAATTGATAGAGAAATAAGATACTTTCATGACAAAAAACACCTGAAGAAATTCATAATGACCAAACCAGCACTTCAAAGTGTTCTGAAGGATATTCAAGAAAGAGACAATATGAATTACAACTTCATGAACCCCAAAAGAATGAATCCACCAGGCAAGGCACTAAATTAAACAAATGGAAGAAAAGAAGCCAACAGCAGGAAAATAACATAACAGAGCTAAGACAATACATATCATTTATAACCATCAATGTCAATGGGCTTAATTCACCAATGAAAAGAAACAGACTGGCAGAATGGATTAAGAAGCAAAATCCAACAATTATGCTGCATACAAGAAACATTTAATTCAAAAACAAATTCATATCTGCTGCCTGCCTCGCAAGCACAAGGAGTGGAGTTCTATCCCTGGTACCAAAAAAAAAAAAAAAATTCATAGACTGAATGTCAAGGGATGGAAAATAATATTCCATGCAACAGGAACCCGAAAAAAGCAGAGGTACCTATTCTATTTGCAGACAAAGTGGCATTCACACCAAGACTGATTAAGGGACAAAGCAGGTAAAAGGAACAATCCAAAAGTAAGAAATAACAATCATAAATATATATGCACCAGGCCAGGGATTTAGCTTAGTGGCTCCATGCCTGTGTCACAAGCACAAGATCCTGAGTTCAATCCCCAGTACAAAAGAAAAATTATAT